AGTTGTATCTTCATTGTAACTGTAATAACTAATACTTACTAATAAAAAGTCCCCAGGCCAAGGAGGTCACCTTAATAAAAAAAAAAAAATAAAAAAAAAAAAAATATAAGAAAAATTAAAATAATTAAAGTTTTTTAAAAATCATTGATAACTATAAATTTTAACTATGAACCTATTTTTAGTTTATTAGTTAAAAATATTCTTTAACCAATTTTATATATAATTTGTCTATTTTGAATTTTAATTATAATATTAATTTATAAATATTTATGATTAATTTTATACCGCTATTTTTTAAAAATTTTTATTAGCTAATAACAAATAATTAAAAAGTTAGTTGTAAGTTAATAGAATATTAATATTTTAACAATATTTTGACAATATTTTAACAATATTTTAACTATACTGTAAATATATTTATCAAAATATATAGGTTTCTGTAAAGTATATGACATACACCTCTAAATTCTTTATTTGTAAATTAATTTAAGCTAAGCTACTATTTACTTTAGAAAAAAGAAGAGAGGGCTTTTTTATTTTAATGAGACGATAAATAATCAAATAAAATTTTTTAACAAAACGCTAATTGCCCAACTAATTTAATAAATCAAATCTATTTTTTTTAAATAAATGTTTTTGTGCTTTTAATGAAAGTTGTGTAGCAAGCTATTCCGATTCTCATGATTGTAGAGTTATTGAAACCTGATTAGTATTTTGCGAAATATTATTCTTTTCATGACTATATGATTTTTTATTGTCAGAAACTTTTAGCATTTCATTATTATATGAAATAATTTCGACAATTTCAAATTTTATTTTTTAGAAATTATTTTCAAATACAGTATAATTACAATGTATATTTTACAAAAGCTATAAAAACATTTGGTTTGAAAATGTTGTTTAAAGTTATAAATAACTATATATATATATATATATATATATATATACAGTATATATAGCATATATATACATTAAATATAATATATATACTAAAGTTTATAAGATCAAAGAAAACATATAACGGTAACTATTTCACGGCTAATTGGTAATTACTCTGATTGGTTAAAATTAAAGTTCAATCTGTATTATTTCTACTATATCGTTTTTTGATTATCATTTTATAATCTTTCTCATAACTTGCTCAAAAAAAGAGATCACTTCTAATAAAAACTTGTGGAACAGAGATCTCAGAAGTTTAAAGATCATGTAACAATGATTTATTAAGTAGCGATAAGCGGCCGATAAAATACTGCTAGTATCAAATACTTTGAACCCTCGCAGGAACATGTAAAATAATTTTATTGTGAGCCGAATGATACGAAGTAAAGTTTACCAATTTGATAGGGCCCGTTTTGATTAATATACCATCCTATAAAATTGAACAACCGTAAAAGAAAATTGAATAAAAAATTTTGTGTAATATAATCAATCAATCACGTTCAAGTACCCAAAAAACAACAGCAGATAAGTATGAACGTGGGAGGTTATTATTACAAAGTCATCTATAATTCTCCGAAAACGAATACTATTTAGTAAATATAGGGCAATCTAAATGAAATCTATTGTCTTTATCCCTAACATTAAACGGATACAAATAATTAAAATTCCTGTTCAAATTAACAAAAAAAAAAAAGAATTCAGTATATATCAATGGATTAAGATTGCAAAATTTCATGTTAATAAATCAATTTGCATACCCAATCCGCATCAACTACGTCCATAGCCCACTTGAATTTGTCACGCAAGCTCTTATTGAAAATCTTTTCATAAGGCACTTTATACTTTAAACACCAAGCGGCAGAGATACGAGGGTCAATGTAATTAATCTTAGAAGTACCTAATGCCGTAGTCTTATTTGATTCTTTGTCATCTTTTAAAAGTTTTGTCTCTTTGATTTTCGCAGTCAAAGTTTGGATTTTTTCATCTGCTTTCTCCACAGTTAAGCCTTTTTTTGGTTCGACTCTACCAGAAGTGCGTTCTTTTTCGAGTTCTTTCTCCTTTTGATCAATTTCTTGAAGCAAAGATTTCAATTCTTTTTCAGACTTTGGCTTTTGTTTTTCTTCTTTTAACTTTTCATTGTCTTTTTCGAATTTCTTACGAACTTTTTCACGTTCTTTTTCCATCAATTGTTTTTCATATTCAATTATCCATTCTTCATCAAGATCAGATTCTTCCACGAGAAGGTCGGATCGTTTCTTCTTTAATTTCGGCTCCAAAGTTAATATGGATTTTTTAAGTTTCATGCGTTGATATTTAAGAGCTTTTATCTATTTCAACAAGTAAAAACATTATTATCTTTTAAAATAATTATATAGAAATTTGTTATTAAAATTTTACCTTATCTTCAATCTTGCTCATTTGGTTTCCATGAGCTTTACTAACAGACCGTTGATGATTGCAAAGAATAGCTACTTGACGATTTGCTTGATTATAAGCAAATGTTTTTTCAGCTATCGAGCTGTCCCCTTTAGTTAATTCTTTTAACTGTGTTTGAAAAGTGTACGACGCATTATACGTACGAAACACTTTGGCTGTAAGTCCTTTCATATATGAAGACAAATGCTTATTTAATTCCTGAGTCTAATAAATAAAATTTATGGATTATAAGCCGCAAGTAAATAAAGTATAATCTTATTGAAATTGAAATAAATCCAACTCACATTTATTCGATCAAATATTAAGTCATCTGGTTCATCCTTTCCTTTCATAAATATTGAAAGATTTCTAAAAACTTGGTCTTCAACTTCTACTGTGTTGATATATCTAATAGAATCTTTACCCAAGAAATCAAATGTAACTGTGTTTGGAGGGATAAGCTTTACGTGTTCAGGACGAAGGGAACAGCAACCAACGGTATCGGCTTCTTCATTCGTATCTTTCTCATTACCAGCTCTGAGAGCCAAACGATCAATCAGATACATAGCTGTAGCCATTTGGCGTGTGGCTGTGTTCTTATGTCGTAGATTTGCTTGATAATCGTTCCGAATTTTAGCGATATGTTTCTACATGTAAAATGATAAAATTGACATAAAATGCCAAAATTTAATAATAAATATGATAAATGTAAAACATAAAAAATTTTTGCTTACTTTTAACTCGCGCGCTTTGTCAAATTTTTTCATGTCGCTTAGACCTTTCAAAGAGCTATTAGCAGCCAAGAAAACATATTTAATGTTATCATTGACATTCTCCTTCCAGGTCGCTAACCAAGTAACTGTGGGATCATGGATGACACCTGCCCATTTATGACCCTCCGGTGGTGATGGAATTTTGGCACCTTTACCAATATTAATTGTTACCTGTTCGGGCTGAACTCGTAACTAACATGTCATATGAGATGAATATTTAACGATGGTAAAAATCTTAATTAGATGCAAAATGCAAAAATGTACATCTTCCTTACTTTCAAAGATCCAGTTTTAGGATGCGCACCGCGCCCTCTGAATAAACCAGGAGGTTCAATACGGAAATTACCGACTTTCTCTTTACGTCCATCTAGCAAGCAATACCCGTACTTTTCTTCCAATTTGATTTTTTCTTCCTTTAATTTTGCCTTTTCTTCTTTAGACATATTCTTTTTTCGTTCCTTTTCCTGTTCGAAATATTCATAAATTGGAGTGAAATCACATTTTTCAAAATCTTTGATTGGGGGATTCTGAATATACGTGTATATATATATATATATTAATATCATAAACTCATGCTAATGAAAAAGGAAAAGAAAAAAATTATTATCTACATTTTTAGATTTCTTTAAGACTCTAATCCAGTCCTTAAAGAAATTTTTATTAAATGTCTCATTAGTGACATAATCGGTACCCAACATAGCAGCATAAAAGCTGGCGACTTCCTCAGCTTCAGGTTCCAGAGTAACCTCTTTTCCTATTTATTCGTAAAATCGTAAAAGATTCTTGACTACTTTGAAGAAATTATTATGAATGTTTAATTATGCTATACACATTACTCACCATCATATTTCATTTTAACTTTATGTGGAACATATGGTGGTGGAAAGTATACGCCGTTGTGTTCCAATGTAGTCCATTTATCGGTTCCGTCATTATTGTCGTTCTGTTGGGTCCACCATTTAAATTCTTCGTCTTCCTCATTATCGGAATCTTCTTCCTTCACTTTTTGTTTCCCTCGTTTCTTTGCAGACATACTCTCATCTGGTGAATCTTCTTTTTTCTTTTTGCGTTGTGTGTCGGATTTTTTGGTATTTGCTACATTTTTGGAAGCGGTCTTAGCAGTTTGTTTTTTATTGTCAGCTTCGGAGTCTGAATCATTTCGTTTTCTCTTGACCTTTAAATGTTACGATGTGAAAATTTATGTTAATTTTCAAATGACTAAATATATATAATGTTACAGTTTGTGATATTATACGTATTTTATTGCCGGTTATATACCTTTACTTGTGATTTTTTATCTAGCTTAATTTCAGCTTCTTTGCCAGTGCCTGTTTTTGCCTTGTTTTCCGCAGCTTTGCCTTTTCCAGACTTCAGTTTGGCCAATGGGACATCACTATCGGAATCTTCAGACTCTTTTTTAATTATAGTCGTCTTTTTCCCATTTGTCTTGCCTTTCCTTTTAATAATTGGAATGTCTTCTTCATCAGATACGGATACTTTCATTCCAATATCCTCCATATTCTGGGAGTTTATCGCCTTTTTAATTGATTTTTTGGAACCGTTCTTTGTTGCTGTATTCTTGTCGTCATATTCCGAGTCGCTGGAGTCTACCCTTTTCCTTTTTGCCTTTTTGTTATCTCCCTATATGATCATATGGTCATTTAAAATCGTAGAAAACTAGATAAGTAAATTTATAAATACTAGTTATACCTGTTCTTTCGTCAAAGAACTTGAAGATTTGCTCTTATTCAAAGTATTATCTTCTGATTTTGAGCCTTTTGCTTTCAGTTTTGCAAGTGGCACATCACTATCGGATCCTGAAAGGTTTTCAGATTCAGAGAGTATTACACGAATTTTTCTACGGCCGGGCACTTTCGAATGATCGTCGGAATCGGATTTCTCTTCTTGTTTCACGGCCGTATTTTGTCCGTTTACTGTGCCTCTTTTTCTTCCATTTGATGTAGGCCTCCTGTGGGCAAGAGGTACATCACTTTCGGATCCTGTAGACTCTGCGTCTTCCATTGAGACATCCGGCTCCTCTTTAACTTTGCTTTTGTTTCCACTTTTTGGAGCAGGAATTTTTCCATTTGTTGCAATAGTTGAAGCCTTTTTTCCGTTCATTCTACCAATCTTTGCAAAGTTTCTAAATTATTCACTCACCTAATTCCGTAAAAAATAAATAAATTTTTATAGTTCAAAGAATTGTAACCTTGAGGTAACAACGAAAAAGGAAAATTTTCGTTGATTAACACTTATACTTTGAATGTCATCTCGACTCACCCCGTTTACTGTTTATATCTATTATTTACCCCTGATTGATATTAACTGAAGATTTCGAAAAAAAAATTGGCCAGTTTTACCGTTAAAGCTTTATGATGTATAAATTTAGATTAACTGATCACCAGTGAATGAAATCTATGCACAATGTGCACACACGTGTTAAGAGATTATTGAACTTTCAATTTGTGTAACGTTCGTACCATCCGTACGCAGTAAAATTATCGTAATTATTTTTAACAATATCGATATGTACATATTTTTAGGCCGATTTTTTAAAGATTTTTTTTTAGAATTAACTAATACATTGTTGAATACACTTGACATTCAATACTATTTTTCGTGATATTGGGCGTACAACCATGCAAAGCTATTACTTTGTTTATTTTTTATTTTTTTAAAAAAAGTTTAATATGCTTCGCATAGGTGCGATATATTTGTATATTGTATTTTACTTTTTTTTTTTTTTTTTTTAATTCTTTGACAGTCTCATTAGTACTTTTATTAAAAAAATAAAAGAAATATATTTAAAATCTACTCTAATATCCACATATAGCAAGTCTGGTATTATTTGGTTCTTTATATGAATAACTACTAACATGATCTGTCACACTACTTTCCAGAAGATATAGAAGACTTTGTTAGCCCTATCAAGAGCCAATCTCTTTGGATTTTTCTTTCTTTACCAAGAGCAAAAAAAAGTAGTGCTTCGATCCTAATTTTTAAAGGCCATTTGGATGAAATTCAGATTCTTTGTAATATATTCGGTTGAAATTTGAATTGGGCTAAATTCAAATTAAATTAGTAAATTCAAATTAAGGCATACATATGTCATAGTACCAATATACAAAATAAACTATAGTTCTTATAGTTGCTTTAAACATACATGAATAGTGATAATTTTCCAGTTAAGCAACCTGCTTAATTCTCAAATAACATGAATTGTTTTTTATATATGATTGCTAAGATTAAAAATTTATTTTAAATTATATACTATATGGGCAAAAATAATAAAACAAGTAGTTGTACCAATTTTAAACAAATATCAAGTAATTCTTTTTTATATACATGTTCGAAAAATAGAGCTCAAAATACTGTATCACATTCAAAAAAACTTGGTTAATAATATATTGGGTGAAATTATATAGTCTTTAATTAATGAATTTTATCATTATTATTTAGTGTAAAATATATGCTATTTATACTTATCCACTAAATTTTTTATAATTTGATTTTAAATATGCATCTAATGATTGATTATTATAATTACTATCTAAAAAATTAGAAGTTTTTAATTAATAGAAATTCAAATATGCTTAATTATTACAATATAAATTTATATAACAATATCTGCCTTAGTTGCTTTTAATTATTTAAAAATGCTCTACTTCAACTCTAATTTCTAAATAAAAATCGTAGCTAACTTGACATATCAGTAAAAAAATTAATTATTATAAAATAAATGCTAACAATTAATAACAGATACAATTATTCTATTTAGATTATCCAAATTTGTACAAGGCTTAGTTGATTAAAGTATTAACAGATTAATTGATCAATAGCAGGTTAGGCTGCAATATGAAGATATATATGCACATTATTCTAGAAATATCAGGTTCAGAAAAATAGCAAAATAATATACATATAGGTATTATGATTCTTATATGACAGTTATAACCAATTTGCTAAATATAAAGGATTGAAATCTATAAAGTTGATAAACTTTTTTTATGAATAAATTATTAAAACTATCTTGTATGAAAATCAGAAAAGTTATTGTTAGTTGCACTTTAGTTCTAGTATAAGCAATAATAGAACCTTACAAGATGATAGACCTCTACAAGATAATGGAACCCTATAATATGACAAAGCTTTATAGAATGATAGAAGATAATTTTAATGATTATCTTAGTAATTTTAATAATAAAGTTGCAAAAAGTTCAAAAATCTTAGCAGAAGCCATTTTATCAACAACTATAGAACCAAATGTTCAAATGAGTTCTAATTTTTCCATCCCTTTGAAAAGCAAAAATAAAAGTGATAAAATTAATATAAAAAATTCTTAAAATAATCAACAATTTATTCTTATAAAAAGTAGTTAAAAATATAGTCAAAAATACAAGAATATAGGAAGCTTAATAGGAAATCTCATTACGCATCTTAGAAACAGTTATGGGATTGTTTTACAAAATAATAAAAAAATTTTAAAAAAAGTATTAAAAAATTAAATTAATAAGGCTGTACAAACTTAGCAAATTAGTTCTTATAACTAAATAGATCAAATTCTGTATCCAAATAGAAGTTTTTATTTGGCATTTATAAAAATTTTTTCAAAATACCAAGTTTTAAAATTTTATATTATTGTATAGACTCTTTATATAATGATCTATATATCTTATAATTATTAAAACCAAAAAAAATTACTTTTATATAGTCTAATTATAAAAGATTTAAAAAAATATTAATTTTTTTTTTTTTTTAGCCACAAGATTCTAAAATTACTGAATTTGTATGGAAGGTTAAACCTTATTCTCAATATATTCAAAAAAGATATAAAGAAATGCTTCTCAAATAGATATTGCATTCAAACCAGCCTCTTTTTACAGTTACCGATGAAGTATATAAAGAAAAAATAGCTGAATTTGATTCTTTTTTTATTATTCTGGAAGAAAAAAAATCAGAACTATGATTGTTAAGAGTTATAATTATAACTGGAAAACCTTCTTATTCAAAGTATAAAAAACATTTCACTTACAGTAAACTTTTGGTCTAGTAAAGCTAAACATGGATATCTAAAAATTATTGTTACTTGGATTACTTCAACATTTGAAATTAAGAATATAATGTTAGAAAATAAGTATGTTTTCTCACCTCATTTTAGTAAAGCTATTTCTAAAAAACTTTATAAATACATTGAAATCTGGAATCTTGGTAATCATATAATATCAATTACCACTAACAACAGATGCAATATAGTCTTAGCTTTTTCTTTATTAATTCAAAAAAGAGGATGTAAAAAGATCAACCGTTTTTTATATTCAGCTTTTATTCTTCAGTTGGCAATTAGAAAAGGACTAGCACTAGCAAATATTTTAGTTGTATATGCAAAAAGACTAATTTAGTTCTTTCAATATCAAAAACAAATAGAATGATTAAAGAAGGTGCAAAAAAATCTTGGTTATTTAGATATTTTGCATTGTATTTAATATATAACCACCTACTAGAACTCTCTGTATTATTCTTAGAATTGTTTTTTTTTTTTAAAGAATGCTATCCCTTAATATGTAGACCAACACAGGCAAATTTGCCTGCGTTTTTGCACTTTTTTAGCTCTGATTTACTTTTTT